ATTGATTATTATGGTAACCTTTCAGAACTACTCGACAATTTCTAAAATTAAATCAATATTGTACAATAAAATAGTATGACAGTTTGAAAGAATGACGATAATTCCTATTAGTCTACCAAAACTCTTATACAGTAAAATCATGAACTGCAAGCACTGGACGGCCGTTCGGTCCTAGTATGGGACTTATCAGGAGTGCGTGTCCACAACCCCACAAGCGGTAATAGAAACCATAACGGGAATGCTTAACCACTTGACCACTGAATTAGGATCCATTTTATATTAATTGGTTCATTGTTTAAATGAATATCAACAGTCTCCACAACTCTATACAAACAAAAATTTAATAAACAAGTGTAACTTTGTGAACATGACTATGAATTAAACGTTTTATAGTGCATAGACTAATAATACTGTCTGAATCGAATTAGATAAGAGCAATAAACAAGGTTCAAGTATATGATCTAATCAATGAATTTGAATTTTATGACCAAATTAATTCAATCAAGTCAATTAACATTTAACAAAAGTTGTTAGCAATAGATTCAAAATTATATATATGTATAGAGAGAGAAATATACTTACTAGAATTAATTTTTTCTGCATAAATATCTGATTGATTAAAAAGACAATGATTTAAATGAACGGATTTTATATCTGCATTCTGTTGATTTAATTGTTCATAAAATGAATTATTTTCTGTGTTATTTTGATTATCGTTATTATTATTATCATTGTTTATTTTAATAGTATTCACCATAACATTAGTAGTATCTATTAGTTCTGATGAATTTTTCATTGTTCCACTCCATTGGTCAGTATGATTTTGTACAAGGTTAGGACTTAATAAAAGCATGCTTTCACTTTTATTCATATTATCATCATGATGGTGTATATGCTCATTGCAATCTGTAATGCTATTCATATTACTACTATCGTCATTATTATTATTATGATTGTGATTTTTATGAATGAGTGATATGGAATCATTTGACATAACATTATTGGTTAATGTGTTGTTGTTATCCAAGATGATCATATTGGTATTTTCATTGTTAAAATAATCCGACATATTCGATGACGTGTTGGTATAACTAGATGAAGATGGAATTTGTAAACAGGATATTGGTATTGTAGTTTCAATAGAATCATTATTATGACTGAATGAATGATAAGGATGATGACGAGGAGGATTAGGATTATATGGCATAGATTGTATATGATGAAACGGATCATCCGATGGCTGTGGATCGCTTCTGTTACTATGATGATAAGTATTTTCATGCCAAGTTTGTATCCTCCACATTTTGTTGTAAATTTTTTAATGGTAAAATATAAAATTTTTAAATTGAAATTTGCATAATGTTTAAATGTATTTTATTTTTGTTTTTAATCTAAAAAGATAAATAAGACAGTGAATAATAAGTGAAACGTTTATAGTAAGGGAAAATGAATTAGTATTTACTGATGAGTAAATTATGCTTAGTAAACAGTCACCCGGTTTACTTATTCAGCTTTTTTGTTGATTGAAATTCTAAGGAAAAAAAACCCAACATTCCAGTGATGATGGGAATGTCATTTTTAAACAGAATATTTGTATAGTTAATTCTTCCTTACTGGTTAATCAACTTTTATATAGTGAAGATGAGAACTCTGTGTTGTATTACACGATGAAGACATTTTTTAATAGTGCTCAGAAATAGCACTATGAACATATACGATTGATCATTGAATACACTTACATGCTTTATAAAATCATTTCTACTTTATGAATAATTATTTCAGATAGTATTAACTTGATGAATAAAAAATAAACGAAATACGCTGAACTATTCGATTGGTTGTTTTAGCAATTTTTTTTTTAAACCAATCAAATTCTGTTCACTGGAAATGCAATTTTAATATACCCACCCCTACGGATAATTCATTATTGCGTTAATTTGATTGGTCATTTTTAGAAAATAATGTAGAAGATAATAGAAAGCAATAAATTTAGTTAACTGGTTTTTCTATCCCATTTTTTTTGTAGAAAATGTTTTTTTTTGTAAATTAACAATATGAAAATAATTATTTGGTCCAAAATAAAATGTTTCAGAATTGTTGATGGTATTTCGCAAAATCAATCAATAGGTAATTTTTTAATCTAAATAATATCCATGTTTATAAACTTGAGTACAAAGACAGTTTTAAATATAATCCGAATCATATATTACTTATATAAGTATGGTTATATGTATATTCGTTAATCCATAGTTCAGTTAATAATATTTTAGTTTACTTTATGTAGATTTTCATCACATGAGTGATTAATTTTTACACCTAATTTCTAATAATTCTTCAGATAGTGTTATGTAGTTGACAAAAATAGTAGTTTAGTTTGAATGAAGAGCTTATTATCCGTATGACATTAAATGCTGACAGTTCAGATATTATTATTATTATTAAAAACTAACTGTAAATAAGTTGAACAATTTCGTTAGAAGTGTTTTAAGATTTGAAATCACTAATAAATCAAATTTTTAATAAATATAAAATGCTTTAAGTAAATAATCATCTAATTCTATATTTGAATATTGAATCCTTTTGTGCGTTCTGAAATTATGACATGTGATATTTAATTGATTTGTATCAATAATACTGCATTAGGAAATCATGAATCGATCAAAGTTAGAGCACTACAATGAACCCAGAAGCACTGGACGGCCGTTTAGTTCTGATCTGGGACTCATCATCCACGACTTCTGCACCTCGCAGGATTCGAACCCAGGTCCTTCGGTCTTGCGCGCGAACGCCTAACCTCTGGACCACTGAGCCGGTTTCTAGCGGTGTGAATGTTTAACTTCGATCAATTCACGGTCTTGCGCAACCTCATACACTGTCTTCGGTAGTTTGTGAAAACTGTTGAATTTAAGTGTTTATATCATACATCGAATTTGATTAGAAAACCACTTCAAACTAAAAACAATGAGTAATTATGACATTTGGTATGTTGACAGTTTCATACAGAATGAAACACAGAATCTTAACAAACGCTTCATTCACACGGAATAAATATTATGTTTTCTAATTCTTATTAGTTACCTAACTACGTTCAATCTATGATGTAAACTATAAAATAAAATTCTGATTATGTAATCATTGGTAATTATTTATTAGTTGCATATTATTATATCGTGTTTCATGAATTTAAATGGAAAAATAATAGCTGATAGTCATTTTCTTATTGGCGTTATATTAAACTTTTAGCAATGGAATCATTAAATTTGAAAATGAATCAATAATACTATTAGTATAAATTCCAGCTCAAGTCGTTCTAGGCCCAGATAGAAGATGAAGATTGGATATGGGGTTAGCAACACATCCCATAGAAAACAACTTGTTGCAAACAATTAAAACCATGTAAACTTTACTCTGGGAGTTGGATGGTATTCAGTTACACAAGGTTTATGACGCCTCATGATGAAAGATGAGTTTCTTCGGAAGTTAGGAGACGGATACCCCTTCTGACAATCAACGCGACATTTAATATGGGTAAATGAAGTGTTCATACAATGTGGGAGACCAGAAGAACCATTCAAGTTGCCGTGGGCAGGAAACGATCCAACCTGATAGCGCTTACTTACTTACTTACTTACTTACTTACGTCTGTTACGCATAACGGAGCATAAGCCACCGACCAGCATTCTACAACCACCTGTGTCCTTTACTCTTCTTTCCAGTTCCAAACAAATGCTACTCATTCTTCTCAAGCTTGTCTCCGATTCTCGGACCAATGTGTTCTTTCATCCACCTCTTCTCCCTCCTGCTTAAGGATCCCAAATTACGGCTTGTCATGTGATGCAGTTGAATGATCTCCACAATACGTGTCATATAGATCTCCACCCATTTTTCCTATTTAGTCATCCGTTGGAATCTGGATTGTTCTCTCCTATAGTAAATTGCTATTGACAGTGTCTGGTCAACGGATGAGTATTATGTTGTGTAGACAGTTGTTGATAAATAACTGTATCTTGTGGATGATGGCTTTTGTGTTTCTCCAAGTTTCTGCTCCATACACTAGAACTATCTTGATATTTGTATGGAAAACTCTGAATTTGATGTATTTTGGTAGTTGTTGTGAGTTTTGGATGCACTTCAGTTGTAGAAGTACTACACTTGATTTGTCGATTTGAGTCTTCACATTTTCATCAGATCCACCTTGTTTGTCGATGATGCTAACCTGGTAATTTAAACGTTTCTACATCTTCCAAAGTTTTTCTGTTGAATTTGATTAGATTTGGACGTGTTGTGTTGTATGGGAGGATTTTTCTTTTCCTCTTGTGTGTGTGTGATATGTTCTACCGCAAATGCTGTTGAAATACTTGTTGTCTTTTCCTGCATTTTCTATTGTGTTTGGGATAGATGAGCTGACTTTGATGATGCCCATGCTAAAAGTGGTACGATACAAAGAAGATCAGCATAGCTCTCCGAAAGGATGACAGGCAAAGTTGTGAAGAATCACATATTTTCTGACTTTGGGATAGGTTAGACTAAAGTTACCAGTATAGTGAAGTAAAATCAAATTATTTCAGTACATGATATTATTAGTAGTGAAGAATTAAGATTTAACTATTAAGATCATTGAAAATAGTTAGTGATAGATAACCTATTATATGTAAAATTAATTTTGCTACAATTCTGAAAAAATAGTTATCTTACTATTTAAATGTATTATTTATTTATCGAAATCTGGGGAAAAAAGTACATCGTGTAATATTTCTTTGCCAAGGAATTGCTTTCATTTAAGTATGTTTATTAGTTTTTAATGACAGTTTCCTTCATATTTGTAGTATACGTATGAATACAGACTAATATAGACTAGTTCGACGGTTGTCTAATTGAAGTCAGTAAATGATACTACTAATAATAATAGTCATATGTTTATAAGTAAATAATTTCGGGTGGCAGTTCCTAGGATTTAGGTGAGTACAGTCAGTAGACGAGTCAGAAAATTGTAGAGAACACGTGTCTTGAATTTCACCCCTAGCTGTATCTAAACTATGATTCAGAGGTGGATAGTGGCTAACAGTGGAATCCAGGACGTGAGTTTCGTCCGATTCGTGACTGATCAGCTGGATGTACCTACATCTTGGGGTTGATGTTCAATCCGGGACTCAAATCTGGTACTTTTCTCTTCAAACTCTATTGCGTTATGCACTTGGCCACTAAGTCCAGATGACCACTTGCTTGTATTTACATCAATGGGAAGATTCACCGGTACTAGGTTCGAGTCCCGGAGTGAGTATCAACTCCGAGATGTAGGCAAATCCAGCTGACTGGTGTTAGATGGGATAAAACGCTCGTCCGGGATTCAACTGCCAGCCAATATTCACCTATGCCAATGAACGATGTTTGTAATCTAAAGGCAATATCAAAGTTATCTGCACAGGATACACATATGCCAAAGAGACTGATCAAATCTAGTCCTGAAAACAGCAGTGAAACGATTCAAATAAACAGTACAAGTGAATTACTAAAATTATATTTACCTTAATATGGTTATCATGTGGTGTAATAGAATTAATTACATTTCTTTCTCCACCATCTCATAATCATATCATCTTCACTTAGTTATTTGTTATTAATTTGATAAAGTTAAAAAAAAGTGATATTATACTAATGACATTTCAGTAAACTTATAAAGCCGATTCGAGAATTGTGCTGCAGGTACTAAAAAGATCACTAAATATAAACAGTTTTAACATGATCTATAGACTCTTAGGTGGTGAATTAATAGTTAAAGTAAACGAATTAAAGTTAGATTAAGTAATAAGAGCTTGACTATAATTTTATTTATGAGCGCCAAGTTTAGGATTAAGAGTTAAGATCGTTAGCATTCAATGTTACAATGAAAATATGTTATTATAATGGGAGAATATATTTTTTTTAATGTACAGAAACAGACTTGACTATGCATGGAATCACTTGAATTACAATCATATATCATTTCTAATATGAACACAAGTATTCAATGGTAATTCAACTTATACAGTACATTGAAACTCATGTTATGGTTGCATGGAGGATAATTTTTGAAAGTATTTTATCAACTAAATATCAATAATTTTTAATTTGTTATTCTCAAC